AAACTATGGCCGCAGTCCTGAATATATATGTGGCACATGATTGCCTAGTGTAATTAAATCTATATGATGAGACTCGCACATGATTGCTTAGTGCAAGGCACTAAATGTCCAAGATATCTTGGGCCAAGTTTAAAGTGAAGCATCCAACTGTATCTTATGCCAGTATCATAAAGTAAGTATTCTTATTTCTTGTTTGATGACCTCATTACTGCCAGAATACAAATTATATCTGAAAACAACGGATCCCTACAGGTGAGCAAGGCATAGCACGGATAATGATAATAAATGTTTTGAGAAAATCTTTTGTAATTAAACCATTACTTACCATAACATTATTGCCAAATCCCCGCACAATAAATCTGAAGGATTGAGAAAAAGGGTAGATTCTGCAGCTGGTCATAATTGAGAGCAATTAATGCCACAGGAAAAAGTCCAGCTATGAATACCGCAACATATTCCATCTGTACACCCTCGCTGTTGCATATTCAGAAGTGACCATCTGAACACTGTAACCTAAAAAAGAGATTTATGTAAGAATTGATATTGCAAAAGAATTTCCGGATTTTCTCAGTACGAAACTAAAAAATGCATTTTATTAATAGATGTAGGCAACATGCAGCACATCATGTCCAAATTCATTAAAAAGCGGTAGACAAGGCTCTCGACGTTATGATGATTTTGGTGTCTTAGCATCGACACCCTGAAGCTGGACACACACAACAAGTTCATGTTGAATGGCTGATGTAAAAAAAGAGAAGCTGAAATAAATAGAAGACAAGCACAAAGTCTGTCCACCAGTAGGTTTGGTAGCCCGGCACTAACATATCCAGCTCCAAAATAAAATGCATCAACTGCGTCCTAATAGCATTGTGAGTGTGAGTATCCAAAACCGTAAAGAAAATAATTAATAAGTTGTTAACTACCTGTTATTGGTGATGGATACATTAAAAGAAAAGATTGAGTAACCTTTGTTAAATTTAATCAATGTGGCAGATATTCTTGTAGTAACGACAACTAGATTAGAACCGCAGTAAAACCTTTGTAAGAAAAAGAAGGCGTCAAAATTGAATGCCGGAAACCAGTTCTGTTCTGGCAAATGACAGAGAATGTTTTCCCCATGATCATGTGGATTTCCGGAAGCACCAATTCCAACTCTACTCATACATCAATGCGAATTCTAGTAATCCTAAAGATAGCCGTCGAATATTCAGGGAACTGCATGAAAACTAATAATCTCAGTGCTTTAAAGGAGGACCGAAGATTTATATATACCAAGGTCAAAAACAGAGGAAAATATAAACTATGTCCGCAATCCTGAATATACATATGTGGCATAATCAGTTATTGTTGTACACTGTCAAAATTAAATTCCAACCGATCTAAGCAGTAACAAGCCGTGATACAATGAGGTTCATGGCATGGATGGATATTACCGAACTTGGAATTAGCGCACGCACTAGAATGAACATGATACCGGGAACAGGTATATATATTTCCATGGCGACATTTTAGCTTACCAGACAGACCAACTAGAGCGGCGAGACAGAAGTGAGCTCCTGCAGAAAACCATGCCCTGATGAACCTGAAGAAAAGAAAAAGGACCAGCTCAAATGACTCCAACTCCAAGGATGACGATCCATGGCCCAGCTTGCCTATACAGTACTCCCTCCGTCCGAAAATATTTGTCATCAAAATGGATAAAAAAAGAGATGTATCTAAAACTAAAAACTAGATAGTGATTGATTTTCAAGAGGCTGGCTGGCTCTACTTTGCAGGAATGGAGACAACATCAATATTACTCACGTGGACGATGGTGGTACTTAGCATGCACCCAGAGTGGCAGGACCGTGCAAGGGAGGAGGTTCTTGGCCTATTTGGAAAACATAAGCTTGACTACGAGGGTCTTAATCGACTCAAAACTGTGAGTATTTACTGAAATTACTTGAGTTGTTGCAAACATAGGATCGGAGGTACGGCATCTTAGTAATATATGTTGTGTAGGTGACAATGATTCTTTATGAAGTTCTCCGGTTGTACCCACCGGCTAGTGCGTTCACCCGGCAGACGTACAAGGAGATTGAGATCGGAGGCATCAGGTACCCACCTGGTGTGATTTTCGAGATGTCTGTGTTGCACATCCACCACGACAAGGATATCTGGGGAGACGACGTCCACCAATTCAGGCCCGATAGGTTCGCTGAGGGGATCTCCAAGGCTTCCAAGGAAAGGGGAGCATTTTTCCCGTTTGGATGGGGGCCACGGATCTGTATCGGTCAGAATTTTGCACTGCTTGAGGCCAAGATGGCATTGTGCATGATTCTTCGGCGCTTTGAGTTTGAGCTCGCGGGGTCGTATACTCATGCGCCACATACCGTAATGATGTTGCGTCCCATGCATGGTGCTCAAATTAAGCTGCGGGCGATCTCTTCGTAGTAGTATCGCCATATATACATTATTCACTACATATTATTATTTTCAAGTACAAAGGACTCTTATCTTGGCCATGTAATAAGGCTTTATTGCCTTCTGTATTTGGTAATAAAGGTCCAACATGATTTAGGGCCATGATGGCTCATCTGTTTGTACTCTTTGACCAAACGTATCTATGGTACCACTCCTATGAAGCTATTGTGCAGCATTCATATGATGTAACACTGGTACGCTCTTCAAATGATTTTTATCATTTCTCGTGGGCTTTGGCCAACCATTGTCTTCGAGAACAACTAGCCATAGTAGTGCCTAGTGCCCACCTTGGCGCGCAATGATTTAAAAATGCACGTCACTACTGGAATCGCCACGTTTTCCAAGTGCCGGAAACACTCAGTAAAGGGCCAAAAACCCTTGGCAAAGCCTTTGCCGAGAGTAAACCAGCTCAAATGACTCCAACTCCAAGGATGACGATCCATGGCCCAGCTTGCCTATACAGTACTCCCTCCGTCCGAAAATATTTGTCATCAAAATGGATAAAAAAAGAGATGTATCTAAAACTAAAAACTAGATAGTGATTGATTTTCAAGAGGCTGGCTGGCTCATACCTCGCACGATTCCATTCCATCCGAGATCAAACACCACATCGTTGTTGAAGCCGCGTTGCCGCCGGCGGTGGAAGACTGCTCTCTTTTTTTTTAGACAAACGGAGGAGCACTGCTGGATGCAATCACAGAGGACGGCCCATCAGATTAGTCTGAAGCCCACCCACGCCCATGTGCAGCCCAGCAAATAGTACTCGCTCGAAGACTGGGACTGGGTCGCACAACATACGACGGCTGACTCTCCCGCGCGGCCCAGGAGGAAGCAGGAGGATGAACGGCGGCAAGAAGAAGTTCGGCGGCGGGCGGGTGCCGACGGGGACCCCCTCGCTGGCGTGGTCGTCGGTGGTGGTGGTCGCCTCCCTCCTCGCCGGCGCCTCCATCGTCCACAACATCTACAAGCCCGACATGGTCCCTCTCTGTTTCTTCACTCATCCCCCCCGCACCTTGGGCATGCACGCCAACTGTTCGACGCAATGCTTCCCTGCCTTCGTTCCTGCCTCCGTGCTCACCTCTCTCATACTCGGCCTCTCTCTCTCTCTCTCTCTCTCTCTCTCTTTTTGTCACCGCAGACTCTCCCGCCGGTGGAGGTTGCTGACAGCAATGGATCTGGAGCCGGCAGCGACGATCGCAAGGAGAGCTGAGCTAGACCCGACGGCGGCAGCACCGGTGCTCGAGGCTCGAGAGGATAGATAACTAAGGGCCGTTACTTTGTTTCTAGCTCGCTACAAACATATGTGATGGAGTTCTTCGTTTTGTAATCTTCAGACAGGCTTGAACAAAACAATTCGAGCTTTCAGAGCTTGTACTCTGCTTAATCTGCTCTACTCTTGTTCTTTGTATGGTGATGATTGATGATCGATTGATTGTGCTTGTTATATTACTCGGTTAGTCGAAGATGTCGGTGGTTGCAAGTTAATTTGACACAACCAAAGGTCTTGGTTAATATAATTGGGGGACGGAGGGAGTACTTTGAAGATAATTGGGGGTGCTGTCGTGCTGGGACCAGGCGACTATCGCCACCGGAGCTACGATTGTTTCCACGGGGAGCTGCAACCACAAGGCGCATGTTGCTGCATGCGTGGAGCTGGCGAGAAACACAGGCGCCGATGACGACAAGGACGGCGACAAGCGAGACATGCCTCGTGGTGCCTCGAAATCGAGCATGCCGCTCGTCCATGGCGGTGCGACGGGAGCTGTTTATTAGAGAAGAAGGCGTCGGCACTCTAAAGCGCTTCCACGAGAGACAGATGGACTTTGAGTTATAGACGGAGAAGAGCCTTTAGAGGATCAAGGGAGGAAGCAAAAGGAAATCGTGCTATTCCAAATAGGGTTATCGCTCGCTGCTGCAGGTACGACTGGTGGCTAGCGTTGCGCTTACGACTTTGAATAAGAAATTGAGTTTTTTTAACACTATACAGATGCAGACGCCCATACATACGCACATAACTCACCAGTATAAACACACACACGCACATCCTATCCCTATGAACACCTTCGGGAGATTGTGCCAACACATCATCTTGAGATTGACAAAGACATCTTCGTAGTTGATACAAACGTCTCCTTCCATTAAACACACATAGCCAAAAGTCCTCAAGTAAATCCAGAAAAAACCGAGCACCGATGTCACATCTAGGACTTGAACCATGATGGGTTGGGGGATACCACTGTCATTCTAACCATCCGACCACAAGTTGGTTCACAATTTGAGTTGGTAAGTTTATAGTCAGTCACCCCGTGCGGATTTTATTAAGATGGCAGTCACTCTCTGGGTAGTTTCGACAGCGTGCAGAAAAGCTATACATGAGTCAATTTATCAAGTCCAATGTCAACACATCTATTTGTAGCAAGATTTATCTCAGAGTTGGATAGCCTAAAGATGATTATCCACAGAAGCATGCACGCGATAACGATTTCTAACACATGGAAGCTCCCCCCCCCCCTCCCCCCCTCTTCTCCCAAGTGGCCATGCAAAGATCTATGCCGACGGAGGAATGTCTCACGATGACGATGTGGGTGCAGCCGCCGCGGTGAATATGGCAAATATCTCGGATTCCCGGCGATTGTCCTCCCGGGAGTGAATGATCCATCAATCCTAGTAGCTATAGCGTGCTGCGAGGCATTGGCTTTAGCTGATGATTTGTCTTTGAGCCGTTTGATGATCGTGTGCGATTGCAAGCCAATGGTGGAGGACATCAACAAAGGACCGGGAGGCCCTCATATTACAGTGATGAAGGAAGTATATAGGGGTATAAAAGAAACAGGATGGAGCGGCCTACGTACACGTAGCTTCGTGCATAGTAATATACAACGTGTTTGCTTGGGGGAGTAGGAGATTGAGAAGGAAAAGAATTTGGTGGAGACGGGATGCAAATCTCCTCCGGTGCGTACCCGGTCGCATCTATCTTGTCTCTTTTATGTCCCCACAACATGGTTACGTTTCCTTCCTCCCCTCGGTGTCCGGCCGTGGCAACGTCCACCCCGGTATCATGTCAGTCGTGGGACCAAGTCCAAGGTAGCAACTGACTATAAATTAGTTTTTATGCATCCCAAACGTGTACGAAGCTACGTGTACGTAGGCCGCTCCATCCAAACTCCAAGCCCTAACACGTACTCCTACATTAGTAGTTAATCAACGGACATATCGATTAATCTATAGGCATCTACGGCCAATGTCGTCTCTGCTGTGGCGTTCTGCCGCCGCCGCCGCCCGACGGCAGCTCGGCCGGCCGCCCTCCCCGAGGACGACGATTCGCTCCATGGCCTCCTCCTCCTCCTCCTGCTCCTCATCGGAGAAAACAAAGGTTCGGTCGCTTCTACGATCTACCTCTCCAACCGACCAATCGATTGGATTTTGCTTACTGCTTCCATCTGCCTGCATGGTTCACCAACGATGATGCATGATCCACATGTGACAGCAGGGAGCAGGCTGGCTCATCATTGCCAACATCCTTATATTTAATGCGTGGATCTATAGCCTGAACAACAAGACCAATGCGCACACGGAGGAGATGAGGAGCGTCCGGCAGGAGATTCAGAGGCTGCAGGCGTCCAACGCCGAGCTCAAGCGCGATCTCGCAAACCGAGCAAATTGAGAGATATTTGCGCGCTACTTGCCGCGTAGCGTAGGTGCATTGCACGCGCATAATTGCTAGTTATTAATACTAGTAAATGCGCACGTGCAATGCACGTGTAATCTTAAGATTTGTTTTTGTTCATTCTAGTTAGCACTTATATGCTTATCGCCATGTTCAGGGTGTAATAATGCACGATGCATCATCTTGGGGGTATAATAATGTACAATGCAACAAAGTCTAACTCACCAATCGCAAATATAACGTACCGTATGGCATTACTTGACATACAATTCTTAGTGTGAATTTACAAATATAGTATGAGGCTACTATAGAAAACCCAGATAAGTTTATACAACAGATATGTAGGACATAAGCAACATTTGCGCCTATGTAAAGAACACATATGAATTTAAAATATTAACCGAGAATATTACCCGTTGCCAAATTAAGCCTAATTTTTATTAACCTACCACCGTTTCCTGTTAAAAGCCCCCCAAAAATCATCAAATCTGTAGTGTCTATATCCCCTATTTCTATTTGCCACTGCCGCCAAGTTGTGGTGTTTGGATCCTTAGTGCACCAACGTTGCCAATAAACCCCCTATTTCCATTGCCGAGTCGTGGTGTTTGGGTCCTCTTAGCAGACCAAAGTTGCGGCGGCCGCTGCACTTGCGTTATGGACACAGCAACAACGGCAGCGTGAAGGTATACTTGAATCTTCATTAGAGAAGTAGCACCAAAAGGAATTGTACTAAATCGAGCATAGTTAATTTTACTGGCAAGTAATCAGGGGAGGGGGGCACATACCTTATCCTGAAGTAGCTGAAGGACATATCCAAAAATCTAAGTTGATTCACTACCCACTTTCTTCTCTTGGGACAGACGGGCATACCACCCACCACTTTGGTTTTTGCATTCAACATTGCTCTATACAGGTTGATGAGCAGCAGTCCCAGAGCTTGCAGCTGTACTGACTGTACATGGCAAGAAAGAGGAAACGAAACAGAAAAATCATGATTACATCATCCATCAACCAATGAAGTAAAGTTTCTGAGTTCAGGAATGTAACAGATTTTTGTGTGTTGGTAATATTGCTTAAAGGTGTACGTTGTGGAGACGGAAATGAAGAAGGCTGGTCTTGAGATACTTGTTGACAGTTGGCACTAATAAGAGTTGTACGTGCTGAAAAGAATGATGCTTGACATGTTGTAGACCAACCTTATTTGTGCATACCATCATTGATTGCTCTCCGGCTGCAGTCTTGTTTGTCAGGGTCCTAAAATGGGGATCATTCCCTGAAGCACCCGAATGACTCTTTTCCATCTGTTTGATGTGTGTAGAAAATCAGTATAACATGCTCTGCTTGATGTGTGCACTCAAATATTTCCATCTGTTTGATGTGTGTAGAAAATCAGTATAACATGCTGTGCTTGATGTGTGCACTCAAATAACTGATCAAAGAGTTTTTTAAACTATGGTAACAAGTCGCTTTGGCTGGCTTGGCTTCAGTTTTATCAAGTGAAAGTGAATCAGATGTGAAGAAAAATATCAAATGTGAAGCAGCAGTGCACTGAAAATTAAGATGAAAGAAAGAAAGCACAGATGAAAGACCTTCGGCCCGGCGCCTGCGCGTCCCCTGAATGTGCACGATGATGCGGAGATGTGAATTGATGGTGGTTTAGGCGATGTCCCCGGCAAGGAGTTGCAGGCGGCGTGCCCAACGTCCCCGACGGGTGGCCAGCCGGTGTAGGAGAAGGCGCCGTCCTGGACATTCAGGCAGGCAGTGTAGGAGGCGGCGTCGCCGCCGACGGCCGACGCGAGGCGATGAGTGGGGGCGGGCGGCATCGTTGAAGGCACGAAGGGTCGATGGGTCGAGGCGCCGGATGCGGCGGCTGCGGATCGAGGCGATGGATGCAGCGGCGGCAGGTCAAGGCGATGGGTGCGGCGGCTGGGTGCGATGGGGCAACGTTGTGAAGGTGCGGCAGTTTGAGGCGATTGGCGCACAGCGAGCCGGCGTCCAGGACGGTGCGCCAGTTAATTTCCCTTTCGTGTGTGCGGCAGTTCCTTTCCTATCGGGCGAAAGGAAAGGAAAGGAAAGGGATTAGAGAAGAGACAGAATTGTTTAGCGCTAAACATGTTTAGTAGCTCACCATGAAACAATAAGGACGGTTGGATTAACGTGATTGGGTGGCCGAGATCTATTGGATCTGCCCCTTTGGGTCTTTTTATATTGGTATAGATATAGATTATGTGCTTGTCCTCGTCTAATAAATTGATCAATAGTGTACACCATGTTTTTCCTAATGGTTTGTTTTGCGTGTTCGTCGGATGCTAGTTAAGACCTTTTTTTAACATGGATGTTAGTTAAGACATTAATTATGCACCAAGCTAGGTGTCTGTGTGTGACTGCCATAGAAGATGTTTGTATTTGGCCGTGGATTGTTGTTCAGTGACGAATATGTTGTATCAACTTAACCAAATTGATAGCACTGCCCGTGGTACCAAACAAAACTATAGAGGCAGAGGCATATGCACAGAGGCAGAGGCCTCTCCTACAGAGATGCC